CCCCATCCCTGTCCCAGCCCCGTGTCCCCATCCCTGTCCCAGCCCCGTGTCCCCATCCCTGTCCCAGCCCGGTGTCCCCATCCCTGTCCCAGCCCCGTGTCCCCGTCCCTGTCCCAGCCCGGTGTCCCCGTCCCCGTCTGAGCCCCGTGTCCCCATCCCTGTCCCAGCCCGGTGTCCCTGTCCCATGTCCCATCCCCGTGTCCCCGTCCCCATATCCCGCTGGTGCTCCCCATCTGTGTCCCTTCCTGTCCCATGCCCCATTCCCACATTCCACTGGTGTTTCCCATCTGTGTCCCATCCTGTCCCATGTCCCATTCCCGTGTTCCCGTCGCCATATCCCACCGGTGTTTCCCATGTGTGTCCCATGTCCCAAGCCCGTGTCCCCAGCCCCATGTCCCTGTCCCAGCCCCATGTCTCCATCCCTGTCCCATCCCGGTGTCCCCATCCCTGTTCCATCCCCGTGTCCCTGCCTGTGTCCGAGCCCCGTGTCCCTGTCCCCATATCCCGCTGGTGCTTCCCATCTGTGTCGCTTCCTGTCCCGTGTCCCACCCCCGTGTCCCCTCCTGACGCCCCCTGTGCCGTCCCCCCAGGCAGGAGCAGGCGCGGCTGGACGCCGAGGAGCGGAGGAAGGAGCAGGAGCGATGGGTGAGCGGGAAGGGGGCTGGAATTGGGGGGGGTCTCAGGGGGATCGGGGGGATCCCTTGGGGAATTTGGGATAAAAGAGAGAGGATCTCTCAGAGAGAGGAAAAAGAGAGGAGATCCCTTAGGGAGTTTTGGGTAAAAGAGAGGGGATGTCTCAGGGGGATCGGGGGGGTCTGTCCTGGGAGACACGGGGGCTCCATCCCGGGCAGTCTGGGGCTCATCCCAGGGGGTTTCAGGGGGTCCATCCCGGGGGGTCAATCCCAGGGGGTTCAGGGAGTTCTGGGTGTCCGTCCTGGACGATCTGAAGGGGCTCATTCCGGGGGGTCCATCCTGGGGGATCTGAAGGGGTCCATCCCAGGGGATCCGGGGGTGCATCGCAGGAGATCCGGGGTGTCCATCCTGGGGGATCGGGGGGTCCATCCCGGGGGATCCGGGGGTCCATCCCGGGGGATCGGGGGGTCCATCCCGGGGGATCGGGGGGTCCATCTCGGGGGAGCCGGGGGTCCATCCTGCGGGATCGAGCGGGATCCCATCACGAGGGACACAGACCTATTGCAGGGGGATGCGGGGTGGGGTCTGACCCGGGGAGGTGTGAGGGCTCTCTCCCGGGGCACCCAGGGCTCCATCCCGAGGGATCCAGGCTCCATCCCGAGGGATCCGTTTCCCATGGCCGCCGTGTCCCGCAGGAGCAGCAGCAGCGGGAGCAGGAGGCGGCCGAGCGGGAGCGCGGGGGTCGCACCGGGCTCAGCGGGACGGCGGCCGTGAGTGCCGGGACCGTGTCCCTCCCTGCCCCGGGGGGGTCACAGGGACACCGGCCCCGCCGTGGTGCCCCACGGTGCCCCGTGCCAGCCCCGCTGACCCCCCGGTCCCGCAGGAAGCCGCCATCCTGGTCTCCCAGCGCACCCAGAACCCCCGGGAATTCTTCCGGCAGCGGGAGCGCTCGGGCTCCACGTCCGCGTCCCCCGTGCCCGGCAGCACCCCCGGTAGGTGCCGTGGCAGCCTTGGGGGGCACGGGGGGCTCTGGGGGTCCCTGCTGACCGCTCGCCCCCGCCAGGTGCCCGCCGGCCCTTCCTGCGGTACCAGCGCAGCCTGACGGAATCCGCCTTCATCTTCCGCCGGCCGGAGCCCCTCCAGAGCCCCCCGCCCGGCGCCCCCAGGGGGGCACCGCCCCCCAGCCCCCGCCGGCCGCCGCCGCCTCTGCCCCCCGGCCCCGCGGGGACAGGGACCCCCCAGAGTGCCACCAGCGGGACCCCCGCCAGCCCCATGGGGAGGGGCACCCCTCCCTCTGCCACGCTGGGGACGCCCCCCAGCCCAGCCCGAGCACCACCCCCTCCAGCCCCATGGGAGCGGGGACCCCTCCCTACTCCACCTTGGGGACCCCCAGCTTTGCCACCACCACCTCAGGGTCCCCCCCTGCCATGTCTGGGCCCCCTCCCAGCCCCCCCCGGATGGGGGTCCCCCCTGTCCCCTCTGGGCCGGGGTCTTCTGAAAGCACTTGTGGGGTAGAGCCCCTCCCTCCTTCCAGCGCTCCCGGCTGGGGGTCTCCCCCCAGCCCCCCCCGGGATGGGGAGGGGCCCCTCCCGGACACTCCCCCCCTCCCCAGCCCCCCAGCCTGGGAATCTCTGGGGCCGCTGCTCCAGGAAGTCCCCAGCCCGCGGGGGGGGTCCCCAACACCCCCGGCAGGGCCCCCCCTGCACTGCCCCGGCCCCCCCCGCCCGGTGCGGGACCCCCAGGATTTGGGGCGCAATGGAATCGGGGGGCACGAGTGGGGAGGGGGCTGGGAAGCCCCCTGGGAGCCGGGACCCCCCCCGGGGCAGGTACGGGGAGAGGCTAGGGGCGATGGGGGGCTGGGGGAAATGTGGGGGGCGCCGGCCA